ATAGCTGAACTCACGTCAAAATACAAACGGCTACATTTTATGATGGTTATCTGGATTGTTAAGCTCAAACACAGATTAATTGGATATTACTGGCTGATGACTAATTAGATAAAGTAATTTAGTCTATAATGCTAATTAACTATGGTGCAAACCGATATTATTGAGAAACGAATATTTATAGCTTAGTTGGACCGGAAACAGCTGTAATTGATTTCACGAAGATGTGAAAAATAATTTATTATTTTCAGGGTAATAGATTTTTTACTTGTGACGACATATTACTGCTAACCTGTACAAAATTAATCTATTTCGGAATATAGATAGATGATCACTTTATTAATTGATTTATTAAGATCATGACTTTAATATTTTTAGGGTTCTGTACCCCAAAAGAATAAACAGAACCCTAATATGATCTATATTTATGAATATAGATAGATGAGCACTTTATTAATTAATTTATTAAGACCATGACTTTAATATTTTTAGGGTTCTGTACCCCAAAAGAATAAACAGAACTTTTCCTTTGTTGTCCGTCTGTCTGTGAAGACCCTTTATCTCGTGAACGCGGAGAGGTATTGAGTTGAAATTGAAACCATATACTCAAGTTTGCGGTCGCTAGAAGCTGTGAAAAAATCAAACTTCTAAGCTAACGTAAAAAAAAGATGCGGCCGTTTATCTGTCTGTCTGTCAAAACCCTTTATCTCGGAAACGCGTAGAGGTATCGAGTTGAAATTTAAATTTTATACTCAGGTCTACAGTCCCTTTAAGCTGAGAAAAAATCAAATTTCTTAGTAAACGTAAAAAAGAGATACGGTCGTTTATGTTGGTTGCGTTCCTATTTTGTACGGAAACCTCGATGAGCGAGTCCGACTCACACTTGTCCGGTTATTTATGCAACCATTTTAGTGTTCTAACCAGCCAGATACAAACAGAACATCCTTAAAGATTTAATACAACTTTATATATACACAGGGTGAAATAAATTTCACTTTATATATCTTTATATATATAATTCTTCTGTGAGTGTGTATGTCACTGAACTTCTCTTAAACGACTGGACCGATTTTGATGAAATTTTTTGTGTGTGTTCAAGGGGATCTGAGAATGGTTTAGATTCACAAAGACGTGTAGACAGGACAACGTCTGTCGGGTCCGCTAGTATATATATATATATATATATATATATGTTACGCTCAAAGATCGAAAACGTTCAGTGAGCGGAAAAATAGCTCACAACGCGTTGTGGTCACAGTAAAACATCCACATAGCGAAATTCGTGTTATGGCTCTAATGAAAACGCGCACGACGCGTTGTGGCAATCACAGAAAGACCAAATAGCGAAATTCGTGTCGTGGCTGACATGCTATTCGACCTCAACGCGTTGTGGCAATGAAATAAAAAAAACCATGACGCGTATGGAATATTATTTGATTACGACGCACACTACTTTCCGATATGGATCCTACTAGGCCTAGGCTGGAAACGTTTTGGTAGATAGATGTCTTTAGGAAATATGTTTTATTTTATAAAATCACTGCATAACGTGTTTGTCATTATTAAATATGTTATATAATTATAAAAATTAAAACATATATATATATATATATATGTTACATACTAAATAAGATACAGACTTTTTACAAAATGACTTAATCTTTGGCAAATTGCTGGATCTTAATACGAGTTGAAGATGTAAGAATGACGACGTGGAACTCAAGTACTCAAGCAAGTTAATAATACATTGGTATACCTTAAATGCATATACATACATGCAGCATGGGGTACAATAGAAGATACAATATGATTTTGAGATGAGAGGAGATCAGAAAGAGGAAAACACCTTGGCAGTAAAAATCAGTGCCTGAATAGTGCTAAAGGCGAAACACCATGACGCATCGCGTCGCTTCGACTCTTCGCCAGTGAGTAGAGCCTAGAGGTTAGGAAAGGATGTGGTTAGACCATCCATCGATCCTCTTGAGACCGGTTGTCCAAAACACCAGAAAGACCTTTCCATAAGTAATTGATACACCCCATGGCCTGGATTTCTTTTCAAACGGGAAGCATCCCATTGACGTCAGTCGACTGCCCTGCCTGCCAATGTAGTCAGATTAGGGTTCTGAACCGATGGGTTTGGCCAGAATGCTGACCCATTCGGAAGTGCGGACATCGAATTCTGGTCTCCGGACGTCAACCTACGGGGCTAGAGACCTGGACTTTGTGCACAATAGCGTGCAGCGTACCCACTTTGGCAGCTTCAACAAGGTTGCAAAGAGACTGGTAACGAAAATCATTCACGAAAACTCTTGGACAATTATAAAAGTGAAACTTAAGCTATGAACCAAGCCTGCAGTGTTTTCGGGTGCGCCAATAAAATCACAGCGCGTTCGGTCATGGGGCGAATTAACTAGTTGGACGCTGAAGGATGAAACGGCCTAAGGCTGCTAAGGCTAAGCTACCTAATTACGGTGCCGTAAGTAACGAGCCCGTCAGTGAAGTTGGTGCAAACCAGTTTACTAGGGCGAAGCCTGCCAAAACATCAGAAAAATAAGTACAGCTGTGTATTATCAAAGAGAGGATATCCCAACGACACCATATCACCTAGAGGTGATAAACAGGGGCCCAAGATTACTCCGAAGAGTTCCGGCGAGAATTACGCAGATTTATTGAATGTCAAAGACTGTTGCGTCGCCGTAGTGGTGAAACCCTTTCAGGACCTAAGAGATGCCTTTACATCTAAAATCGAGAAGGGGATTCAGTGATAAATGATCATTTATGTCTACATCATCCATCACGGTCTTTCCGCGGCAACGCGGCAATGCCTTCGGGTCAGAGGGCGTTCTTTAACTTTGTGATGAGAGTTACTGCAAAAACTAAAAATATTCCCGTTACAGGAATAGTGCTGGCGGATAAACGTCAGTTCTTATAAAAAGGCATAGATTCTAGCCACGTCAACCAAAGGCCCATCCTTTGGTTGACGTCCACACTGTTATTACAGCTAAAAAAATATGGATGATTAACAAGAGTTGTATTATCCTTCCAATTTGAATAAAGATATTTTGGATTGAATTAGATTGCAGTTAAAACTATTAAGTAATCAGTGGTTAAAGCCCCTTTGCACTCATCAGATCAGTCCTTGATATTCATCAAAGTTCAGCAGGTCAAACCTCCGCGACCAGCAGTGTTCAAACTCTGGTTCTGGTACTATGTCAGTTGGGCACATTAAGATTGAGAAAGTAACCAAAAAGATGGCTCCATTCACCCTCAAATTATCTTAACTTTATCATCAGCCTAACCCTAAAAAGAAGTTTTGAGGAAAATTTCAGCATGTTCGTATGTCTAGGAGATGAGATACAGCTTTTTTTTTCAATGATGTTGTATCCAGGTTTTTTAAAATATTGTTGATTGCAATCCAGGATGTAACAACAGTTTTAAAAAATATTATATAACATTATTGACCTTGTTGGCCCAGCAATTAAGACAGGAAATACATGTTAATATCAAATGAGGGCATAATTTCTATAGAATACAATTAAATCAATACTATTAGTACAGGTTCCTAAGACTGCCAGACCTCACATATTTCTCATGGATGAAATATGGATTATCGAGTAGTATTAGTGTGTACAACGAACGTATACATACTCGCTAACTAGTGCTGTGGGCCAATTTTCACGAATCAGGTTTTTCTGTCTGCCTGTCCAAGGCACGTAAAAATTTTACTCACTTTACTTACAGTCTGGGGACTGATTATTATGTATGTTGTAGAGAATATTGTAAACAATTTGAAATTCATCCTGCCTGAAACATTCTGTTCGCAGTATTTATTGCCAGACACTTTTAATGTCGAAAGCAAAAAACACAAACTTGCTTATTGTCTGAAAATTTTTTGATAATTAGATAATAAGAAGTTATTTAATTATTGTAAAAGGCTTCCTGTATCCTATTTATTACATAACTTTAATGAAGCTGTATTAAAAAGACACTTAATAAGCATGAGCGCGCCTGCGCCTGTCCTCACAGTGGCAGTTCAAAAAAACTTAGGAATTTTTGGCCCCGAAGTTTTGACTGGAAGCTTACAAAATATAATAATAGCCCCTAAATATCATAGATAAATATCAGGTCTCAGACTGTAAGTAACTTTTGTGGTTTTTGCTTTCGACATTTAAAGTGTATAGCAATAAATACTGCAAACAAAATGTGTCAGGCAGTATTAATATCAAATTGTTTACGATATTCTCCACAACATACATAATAATTGTAAAAGTGAGTAAAAGTTTTACGTGCCTGTGCCACCTGATTCGAGAAAATTAGCCCACAGCACAAGTTAGCAAGTATGTATATGTTTGTTGTACACACTAATACTACTTGATAATCCACTTTTCGTCCATGAAGTCCAAGCCGGTAGGGTGAGGATGGCTGGTTTGGCAGGTAGGACTGCTGTATCAGCTATCTTCGCGTCTGGACTTTACCTTTACTTAACATCAGTTGGGGTGGAATCATTTGTCAGACCTATCTATAAAAAAAAGAGAATAGGTGAGGTCTAGCAGTCTTGGGATCTTATTCTATAATATGTATACATATAAGAATTATTTAGCATTATATCTTATGTGTACTCTGATTTATTATTTCATTAATACTTTTAATTATAAAGTTATATGAGTAAACAAAATTCTAAATAAACATAATATGCATAAAACAAAATTATTTTCCAGCCTCTCTTGACTAATATGTTTCTGGCTGATTTTAGGGGAGTAAAGTATAACTGTTGTCTCAATCCTTACTTTTACACATAGTTCTTTTGGCACACATTAATAAAGTCAAAACAGTTTCACAGCACCAACTACTTATCTCTCCTATACATTTTTATAATGATTACAAGGTATTCTTTATTACTCTAAACATATAGTCGAGCAGCTGGCTAACTCTTGCCTAGCAGCATCAGACTACTTTTTACATAATTTTAATTGTTTCAAAACAATCTGTTTTACGAGACTTACCAGATATATCTGCAGATGAGCTGATGCCAATAGAACTCGCTAAAACAATGAATCTTAAAAACACCATAGTTAAACTCATTTTCAAAAATCGTTCCAATTCTTCCATGACATTAATTTTTTACATGCACTTCGTTGCTCATATTCACTCCACATCTCCCAGTTATTTTGTATTACATCTTGTAAACTGGGTTATCTTACTTATATTAATCATTTCGAAGTCGTTGCTAGGATTCGTCCTTTCACAACATTCAATAAACACCTGTAAAAACCACGGCTAAACAAATCAAACTTTAGGAACAAAGTAACATTAGCCACAAGTTCACTCAACTTTGAGCGGCGGTTATATCGTGTTAAACAAGTTATTTATGGAGCGTTCTATGGATATACATATTCAATAACACTTTCACTGTGTAACTCATCACAAAATTTAATGTTTGCCATGCCTAAAGAAGTTAAATTTCAGTTCGAAAGTTGCTGAAAAGTTCATTTCACAAACAACAATCACTTTGAAGGACGCGACAAGCTCGTAAACCTCAAAAAAGCACAATGAATTTAAGTGATCATTCGGTCAAATATTATTCATTCATTCTCAGTCCAGCCGTGCTGCCTTCATTCTTTCCGGTCCAAAATAACGTTCGTTCTTTATGTTCGGATACTACTGCCACAGGACTTGAAAAGTACTGATCATTGCTACCGATAAAATGGGAAGAGTGAGAGATACAGTAAGGCCGTATACAGAAAGAAAGCCGAAAGCCGATCGGCGCTTATCGGCGCCGATTCTTCCTACATAAAGGAAGCCGATTAAAGCAGATCAAGCAAAATGTCGGACTCATCGGACGATGATTTGGTTTTGTTAGGAAATGTTTATTTAAAAATGCGAAAAACAAGAATACATCCTATAAATAGAGAAAGGAAACGTTTCGGAGAATACCATCATTTATTTGTTAAAGAATTGAAATTTGATGATCAAAGATTTTATGCATATGCAAGAATGACTAAAAAAACATTTAATTACATTTTGGATTTAGTGGAAAACCGTTTGATGAAGAATTGGTGTAATTGGCATAAACAACCAATCCTTCCAGAAGAAAGACTTGTTGTCACCATTCGGTAAGTACGAAACAAATAATTTTAGCGCTTAGTTAATAAAAGATAAAGTTATTAGATTTATAAAAAGATTATAACTTAGATTGATTTAATCTAAGGATAATAATTCAAATACAAATTATTTATAATTCGACAATTAGGCGCCGATCAGTACGGCGCCAACGCCCTTCGAGGTATCTATGATGACATTTTATGTCGCACGCGTCACAAATTCTTCGAGTGCATTTATCGTAAACCGGCTGGATATACTAAATAAATATTTCCAACACTCACACCAATTAGCCTAGCCCCAAAGTAAGCACTATCAGGCTTGTGTTACATCGATAAGTATATTTATATAGAAATAAATATTAAACATCCATGACTGGAGTACATATGCTCATATTCATTACATAAACATCTGTCCTCACCGGGATTCGAACCCGGGACCTCTCGAGTCGGCGACACCATGAAACACGGCGTTTAAACCCCGCGCGGACCGTTGGACAGTCGAGATTTCGCAGAGCTCCGTGAAAAAATGCGAAATAAATACTAAAGTGTCATTTTCTCGACAGGTATCTAATAAACGTTTGTTAATTTAACGCATTGGAAGCAAATTTTGTTCTAATACTTACTATAAACTGATTTAATAGAAAATATTTGTGATATTGAAATGCATGGTCGGTAATATAGCTGTCTCTTTTCCTCACGGTCCGTATCTGTTACATTGCGAATAGCGCATTCAGAACTGCGCGTAAAATCAAATGAATAAGGTGTATATTCTTCCGCATATAGCAATAAATTCGTAAAATTCTACCTTGCTTGCATTTTGAACTGTCATAACTCTGACGCATACTTTTTAATTAAGACCTTAAAAAGTATGCATTAAAGGTGACTTTCAATGATTAAATAATGCCTTATATTGTTTTTCACTACGCGATCAATTTACTCCGTGCTTAGTTCCGTGGATCGTCCAATGTACCTATTAGACAGGTTTCGGCCACGATTTTGTTCGTGAGGTTGTATCTAGGGTATTTAATATCGTTGAAGGGCTCTTAAGACATAGGTAATATTTAAATAAAGAAGTTGTAATACTTAACCGATTTAAATGTTCACTAACTTTATGTAAGTCGACAAACTAAAACAAAATCAATTAATACCTACTCACCGTCTTCATTCATGGCCTCGCTTATTTCTTTCCAACATTTGTCAACCACGTATCTATTACAGTGCCTTTTGTCGGTTTTGTCCCACAGAGGTTGTTTAGTGAATACTAAGGATATCAAAATGTCATTATCCATTTTTCTACTTAAAAAATAATTGCGTGTAGTAATTGACGTACCTGTTGTCGTTGTTTATTAATTTAAAATTGCAGCTGACCAGCGCGAGTCGGCGCCGATCGGCGCTGGTCCATAGAAAAAGGATCAGCGCCGATCGGCGCTTATCGGCGCCGATCCTTCCTACATAAAGGAAGCCGATCAAGCAAAATGTCGGACTCATCGGACGATGATTTGGTTTTGTTAGAAAATATTTATTTAAAAATGCGAAAAACAGCTATACATCCTATAAATAGAGAAAGGAAACGTTTCGGAGAATACCGTCATTTATTTGTAAAAAAAAAAAAATTTGATGAACAAAGATTTTATACATATACAAGAATGATTCAAGAAACATTTTATTACATTTTGGATTTAGTGAAAAACCGTTTGATGAAAAATTGGGGCAATTGGCATAAACAACCAATCCTTCCAGAAGAAAGACTTGTTGTCACCATTCGGTAAGTACGAAACAAATAATTTTAGCGCTTAGTTAATAAAAGATAAAGTTATTAGATTTATAAAAAGATTATAACTTAGATTGATTTAATCTAAGGATAATAATTCAAATACAAATTATTTATTATTCGGACCAGCGCGTGTCGGCGCCTATCGGCGCTTATCGGCGCCGATCGGCTTTCGGCTTTCTTTCTGTATACGGCCTAACGAAGGCCTTTTTATTAACCGACTTTAAAAAAGGAGGAGGTTCTATGTTCTTAGGTTATAAAGTTTTCTTTAGGTCTTAACATCTAGTCTAGCAATTGAATGCAAGAAATAAAAATATGACTACAGTGATCAGCCGTCATATGGGGGGCGCCGAAAACGGCCGAACGCCCTAGGTACCGATCGACTTACGCGCAAGCAAATCGTATTGTTGTCCGGCGAGTAGCGACGAGCGACGAACGGAGAGGCGGTTTGGGGAAAAGGTGTCCAAACCAGAATTCTGAACCAATATCCTCGAGAATTTTTTAGCCCATGTGGCTGTCACAGCTTGAATTTGGTGGTAGCAGATGCAGCTAAATTGGTCTCTTTATGTGGATTTCTCCAAAGATTATTTGTAATATTTTCTGGATCCACGAGGTGGGAAGTCATATCCAAACACATAGAAGGACTATCACTGAAAAAAGTTTGCGAAACTTGCTGGGAGAGTAGAGTTTCTAGCCTTGCTTCTGTTCGCTACAATTACTGTTCAGTTCGTGATGCTCTTTTGAATCTTCACGAAGAAACTAATGCTTCAGTTGCAGAATATGGCGCAATTAGAATTTTTAGTTACATTGGTGGCTCGGTATGACATATTGTTTCAAGTAAACATTGTAAGTAAAGCTATGCAGTATGAAACTATCGCAAACGCATCGCAATTGCTGAAAACTGCTCGAATTTGTGAAGCAGTACCGGACTTATTCTCCTGCTCAAAAACAGCTAATGAAATAGCTTCTGCCCCTCTAGCATGACCACCGAAACGGGATATGATAAAGCGATATATCGGCATTAACTGTCAGACTACTATGGAGTTTGACAGTAGTCTGACAGTTAATGTCGATATATCGCTTTAGCATATCCCGTTTCGGTGGTCATGCTAGTGGGGCTGAGGCTGGTATAGATTCCACGTTTAGGCCAGTCCGATCCCGGAGAAAAACGCGATTATTTGAGTATGAAGCTGCCGATGAAACATCAACAGATCCCGAAGAACTGTTTAAAATTAACGCCTTTTACCCTATGATAGACACAATTGAAAATGCATTGGTCACTCGGTTTGGACAATTATCCAAATTCAATGATACATGGTCTTTTTTGTATATCATCAAAATAATTCCTGATAAGTCTTTATTAGAATAAGCCTGTCCAGATTTGCAAATGATTTTAACCGATGGGCAAAATGGTGACGTGTCCAGTTGCGAATTAGTTGAAGAACTTTTGAGCCTGAATCCATTATTAAAAAACCTTGAATCAGCAGAGCCAATAAAAGTTCTTACACGTACGTATTAACATAATTATTGGCAGGATATTTTCCCGAATGTGTGGACAGTGCTTCGGATTCTGCTGACCATCCCTATAACTGTCGCCAAAGGTGAACGAAGCTTAAGTAAATTAAAACTAATTAAAACGTACTTACATTCGACAATGTGTTAAGAAAGACTGTCAGATCTTACAATTCTATCAATAGAAAATGAATAACGCCCAAGGATTGAATTATTCCGATTTAATAAAAAAATTAGCAAGCGCAAAGGCAAGAAAAGTGATTTTCTAGTTTCTAAGAGTTTTTAATTAAATAAATATAGTCAAACTAATGTTTTTTTCCATTATTCTCTTCTTAACAAAAAATTTACACGAAATAAAGAACATAAATGTAAAATTAATTAGGTATGTTATTTTTTTCTGTGTCAATGTAAACTGGGGCGCCACCATAAGATCTCGCACCACCAAAAAGTTTAGCTAAGACCTCCCCTGGAGCTCTACTCTCATTCTCCGAAACGAAATTTCGGCAACGTACGAATTTTAAACGAAATTTCGCCAGTGACTCTACTCTATTTCATCTTCGAACACTCACATAAAGTTCGGAATCACAGACAATTATTGTGAACGAATGGAATGAGTTATGTTTGGGAGTTCTTTTTGTCTACACTTTTTAGATAACGTTTTTTACTTCAAAACAATATTACTTTGTGACAAAATTTTTGATTACATTAAAACAACCTCTTTTGGCAGTGTTAGCCGACTAATTAGTAGAGTTGATGCGCAATCTAATGTATGTCAACCTAAATTTGTCGTGTAACACTTTGAAGTATTGGCAATACAATAATAAACAAAAATTTGATTTATTTGTAAATTTTTCATACTAAAAAATGTTCCTCACGCTGAGCAGCCTTAATTAAAAATACTCTAGTAGTAATTTTAGCTTGAATTTAAACAAAAATTCCTAAACGAAAATGAAAAGGTAACATTTCGTCAATTTGAGGTTAAAATTTCGAACAATTATCTGTCAAATTCAACTTTTACTTCAAAAGTTTTGTGAATTAGAGTAGGCTTGGAGAATTTAAATGTCAAACTATTTTCGGACGAACGAATTTTCGAAATGAAATAGAAACAGAGTAAGGAACGTGCGAAATTTCGATCGAAATTTCGTTTTTCGTTAAAATAGAGTAGGCCTCCAGGTGTCGATACTGATGTAATTCTCTAAAGCCCACAATTCACTACACTCACCGCGAGCCGTACCCATTTGTGGACAAATCCGTAATTGCCCACACACTACACGAGCGCCGAGTTGCAGTCCAGTCGCTTGTGTACTTTGGTGAGCCTTGCGCGTATCGTTCTTCCCTACCCTACCATGTCACCGGTGCTTGCCAAACGCACAAAAGTCGCTTTAGTAGTCGGTGCAATACTTTTAACGGAGAAAAAAAAAGAAAAAGCGCGTCTGGACAAAGGAATGGCTGAAATAACGAACAAAATATACTCTGTTTCTCTTTAAACAGCAGGATAAATTCTTGCCAAAACTCTTTATGATTGTCGAACGACATGTTATTATACTCGTTCGTGATACAAAGAACACAACCGCGTGCACGCACTACAAATGACTGAGAAGTTCACCGATAAATCTGTGCAAGCACACAGACGTACGGACTTGTACGGTGCGGCTGGGGTGCGGCGCGGCGCTCGCGTCTCTTGACGGCGAGCACCGCGCCGAGCCTCGAGCCGCGCTCACCAATACATTCACACGCGGGTTTGTCTGCGGACTTGTCGCCAGCGACAAGTCCGGCGGATGGGCGCGCCTGTGAATGGTAGCCTTAAACCTAAATTGAAATTTAACAACAGTATACTTGTCATTTTCTATACAGAATGAAAAGGAGAGACTGACGTTAAATATTGTATTAAATTTAGAGAACCATACCAGAATCGACACCACTATCTACATAATAGCTCATTTAGGCTGTATGGGCTTTGCACTCTTTGCCTTTCCATATTGAAGAAATATACAAAAAGAATGTATAAGTCTATTGTCAATGGCCCTCTCTTTTCGACGATCTTGTCAACTTCAGATTGTCGGGGCAGGTTTTAAATCCTAGGTAATCTTCGAATTTACAGTGTTTATGTCCCGATAAAATTCAAATGGCGTAGATTTCGTTGATTTGCAACATACCCAGTGTATTATTTCGTTCTTAAAAAGTCACTTACGGTGTTAACCTCATATTCAACACTGAAGACATTTCGTGTTTTGACGTTTACCTTTTTGAACGTTTCCTGAATTTGATATATTCCCTATTATTCATTTCAGCCATGGTGCGTATGAACGTATTGAGCGATGCTCTTAAATCTATCCACAATGCTGAGAAGCGCGGCAAACGGCAAGTACTGATAAGACCTTGCTCCAAAGTTATAGTCAAGTTCCTGACAGTAATGATGAAGCATGGTTATATTGGAGAGTTTGAAATAGTAGATGACCACAGAGCCGGCAAGATTGTCGTGAACCTCACAGGCAGACTAAACAAATGCGGAGTTATTTCCCCTCGATTTGATGTACCTATCAATGATATTGAGAGATGGACTAACCTCCTTCCATCCCGGCAATTCGGGTAAGTTAACATTTGGTCTAAAATATAATATCTAGTTATTCTCTATAGAGTTTGTTTCTAGTGTTTTACCTCTTTCTAAGAAAACTAAAATGCAAGATTGGTAATGTAGAAATTGTTGTCAGTGTCGCCTAAATATAGTGTTAATTCAAATTATTTTATTAACGCACTACTACCGCGGATCGCCAATACTTTTATGTTGGTCGGCATTTGATATGTTGTGCAAAATCAACCGAAATAGTATAATTTTGATGTCGCTTTATTGGTGAACATTGTGCATGCTATTTGATACAAATATTTGAATAATTTAAATAGGTACCTACTTACTCCCTACCTATTGTAAGGAACAAGTGGTCCAAACTAGATGATACCTATTTGGCTGGTAAGCAGAGCGGCAATAAAACACTGTAATTACTGTAGCTGTGCTCCTACTGTGTCCTTAATTATTTTATACATCTATTTGGCCATAAATAATATTAGTTTTTCTTCATATTTTGATTTATAAACATCTCTTATACTTGTATATCTATTTAAACATGTATAAACTACAGTTAAATTAGTCATAAATGTATCAAAAATAAAAATTAACACAGCGGGAATCAATTAGTTTGTTTTTTTTAATTGTAATGAAATTAATAAATAAATAAATAAAATAAAAATAGCGTTTATTCTCTGATATAGTTATACTACTTAGTAACTAGCCATATTACTAATTTCCTATTGCTACAATTTAATTTAATTTTACATTGCTTACAACTAATAAAAGAAAATTGGTAACACCAGCACTATCTTAATCAGGTTGTCTTCCTCGGACATAGGTCTCCTCTAGAATTTTCCCTTTTTCCGATCTCTTGCTAATCTGCACCATCCTTGTGGTAGGTCATCCTCCCATCTTCTTTGTGGCCGCCCTCTTGTCCTCCATCTCTGGGGTACCAAGATACGACCTCTTTGGTCCATTTTTCTTTGGGGGATCTGATCACATGTGCAGTCCAACGCCATTTAAGTCTCCTTATTTTCTTTGAAATATCTGCCACACCTGTGATTTTTCTAATTCTGCTCAGTCTCCACTTGTCTTTCAAACGGATGTGCAGCATGCTTCTCTATCCCCTGCTGACATCCTTGAGTTTTTGACTGTGCGCCTTTGTCAGGCCCCAAGTTTGACACCCTTAGGTAAGTATTGGTAGGATGCACATGTTGAATGCTTTACGTTTGATTGGCATTGGAGTGTTCTTATTCTTCAATATTTCCTTCAGCAACCAGTAACGAGCCCAGGTGTTGTTTACTCCTGTTTGCAACTTTTTGTCCATCTGCGAGTTTGGTGAAATTATTTGGCCTAAATATGTGTAGTCATTCACATACTCAATGTCATGATTATTGACACAGATTTTTTGTTGATGTCTATTGGTCATGATCATTGTTTTATTTGTGTTCATGGTCAGACCTGCTTTTTGACTATCTGTTGCAAGTTGTAAGAGCATTTCCTGTAGAGTGACTGGGTCCTCCGCAAACAGTATCAAGTCGTCTGCAAATCGCAGGTGCGACAGCCTACATCCATTAATATTTAGTCCCCTCTTTTCCCAATCTAATTTTCTGAAAATATCCTCTAGCACAACTGAAAAAAGCTTGGGAGATAGAGGATCCCCTTGTCTGACTCCTTTTTGGACTTTTAATTCCTCTCCAATTTTTTCTAATTGTACTTTTGCCGTGTTGTTGCTGTATATATTCTTTATGAGTCTAATATACTTATTTTCTATTCCTTGATTGAACAAAGCTTTATAAATGTAGTTATGAGATAGCGAATCAAATGCCTTATTATAGTCTACAAAGGAAATATAATATGGTTTCCTGTACTCATTGTACTTTTCTATTACTTGTTTTACGACATGCATGTGGTCTACCGTTGAAAAATCTGCTCTGAAGCCTGCCTGTTCTCTCGGTTGTTCAGCGTCTAGTCGTTTGGTGAGCCTGCCTAAAATAATTTTCGAAAAAACTTTGTACAAATTTGTCATGGGGCTAATGGGTCTATAGTTGTCTATTTTGTCTTTATCGCCCTTTTTGTGAATCAATATTATAGTTGATTTTGTCCATTGTTCCGGAATAATTTCACTATCTAAGATTTTGTTAAATAGAATAATTTTGTAATGAAATTATCTGCATGTTATTAAGTTGAATGCAGCAGCAGACTCATAAAATGTATTTCTGGGAACTGTTTTTTTTTTTTAATTATTATAAAGTAAATAAAAGTAAAGTAATTAGTTTTCATGAGGGCACTTAACGCTATTTTCAAGTAATTTGCAGAAAATCATGATTTAACCGATTTTTCCAGTGATAACTTAAGCCCTTGCCTTGTGAATGTATTCCTAGCCACTGTATTATTTTTTTGATTTATTATAAAGTAATCACATTGTTTTCACAATGGTATTACATACCATTGTTTAAACACTGTTAACACCCTGCTTAAAACGAAATAAAATATTGAACATCACTCCTTTTATGCCTACTTGCTGCTCCTGCAGTCAAACAAATGGTTACAAATATTATGTATAATTCTTAAATTTTTTTGACTTGACTTATTTGAAATTATAGAAAATTTTATTATACAAATTCATGGTTTGAAGCAAAATTGTACTTTCAATAAAGTTTTAATTGAAGCTTTGGGAAATTTACAAGATTGTTTTGTGAAGCCAGAAAACCCTGTTAAAAATAAAATTCCTTACCTATGGCTGGCTCTAGAGACCTCATTTAAATTTGATGCTTCAGTTTGTAGGTTTTGACGTCTTTTTTATTTTCAGTTACCTTGTACTCACAACGAGTGGCGGTATTATGGATCATGAAGAAGCCAGAAGAAAACACCTTGGAGGAAAAATCTTAGGCTTCTTTTTCTAAGTTTACACATTACATTTAAAAATGTACTTTTTGAGTTTTATTCCTATAGCCTGTGACTTTGTCTACACTAACTTGTACTAAAATTAGAATCGGAGAGAAATAATGCAAGTATTTTTACCCTGGTATTTAATATAAGACATAACTGAGCCATAATTCGAGTTCAGAATTATTTATTGTATCATATGCTTAATTTTTTGATAAATTTGCTCCTGCAGGGTTTTTGCCTCAAAAATATATGATTCCTATTAAGATAGGAATCCTAAAGGGCTGATTTACACTGGGCATTTTCAGTGTAAAATGATTTTCAATTTTATCTAAGTTCACCCAGGGGAATGCAATGGTCAGGCGCAAATGTAGCTATTTCAAATAACTTATTACAGTTACGTTTTTACAATAATTTACATCTTTGCCTCTGTAGAGTAACCTTTATTAACCAATATTTATATAGATTTCGCTATTAGCACGAAAACTGTTTTATTTGTAGTTTTATAGTTTTTTTTTTAAATATGTGAAGTTGTTTTACTGGGTGTCGTGAAATTATTAACGGCTAGTCATTTTCTATTAATTTGTTTTATCTTACGCATTAGTAAAGTCAAGATTTTGAGACAGCTACATTTTCCCCTTCAAAAATGTCAGTGAGGCAATAGGCTAGTTGCCTAAATTTTAAAAAGTGGTTAATAATATAATTTGGTGTTTAATTTATCCAAAAAAAAATTTATTTTAAATAAAATCATACAGTAACATTAAGTATTTTGTATTTTAAAAAAGTAATTTGAATTTCCATCTAAAACGCTCAAGACTGTCATGGCGTCTTGAATGACGTCACGTCGTGCAAAACCAACAATACGCTGTACGTCGATTAGTAGAATTATTTTGTTAAAAATGAATCCATCGTATTACAAATACTGTATAGTGCCCCAGTGTAAAAGCACAAGCATAAAAACGCCAGAAAAATTATTTATATACGTTCCAAACAATCCACAAATGCGTAAAAAATGGCTAGAACTTGCAAGGAGGGATCGTATTCATTGTTTATCAACAAAGTCAAGAATGTATTTTTGTGAAGATCATTTTAATGTAAGTATTTTGCATTATATAGTCTATGTAAACTAAATATTTCACAAGCCGGATAAATTATATTGCATTAAATTGATAAAATAATGATAATAGGTTGAGGTTATGTTAGTTGATTTAGTATCCTGGTATGATTTAGTCTATTTGAGATTTAGTATATTTATTCATAATAAAAAACACTTCTTATTCTTGTTCTAGTTGCCAAATGACATGCTTAATTACACCGAGTATCATATTATGGGAAAAGTTTCACAAGTGCGAATGAAACCAGGTTGTACCCCAAGTAAATTTGAATGTCAAGAAGATAGAAAAAAACGGACATATAGCAGCACAGAACGACCATACATATTAAAGAAACAAAGAATGATGACAATAGCAGAGTGCCTGAATGAACCAGATGAAAGTAATACAACTCCTACACCAAGTTCATCTATCACAAATACTCAAGGTGTATATAAACAACACAAATTTTATTTTAAACAACAAGTACTTACCCACCCAGTTCAATATCATTATGAAGCTTTTATTATACTTACTTATTTTATGTTACTTATTTTTCAGATTTTCAAACAGATGAACAAAATGAACCAGTAATATGTGAACAGAAAGCAAATAAATCTGTACAAGTTTTAATAACACATAAATTTAGAAGCAAAGCTGTCCAGATCAATGTAAAAACAAAAGAACAGGCATTATCACCTGTTAAACCCTCAATAACATCTTGTTCCACATCACCATTTAAAGCTGAGTTAATAAAAAAATCATCAGCTTCTGTCTCCAACCTACACAGAATCACAAAAAATTTACAGGTTGAAGAAGAGCCCTCTGACAGTGACATTTCAATGTATACTGCATCTGTGGCCACCTCTGTTAGCTCGCAATCATTACAAGTAAAATCATCTTCTGATTGCAGTGAATTAATTGCAGAAGACAGAAAGCTAGAAGCTAATAAAATGCTGTTAAATACAATAAAAAAAATTGAAAAACGACCTAGTTTGTACATTGGTGTTCCAAGGAGCTGTTACTTCTTGATTGATTTATTAAAAGATGAAATAAATATTCCCAAGCATCACTTATTGCTCTGTTTAAATAAAATCAAATTAGATCTTAAATTTAATCAGATGACAGATGATTATGGAATAACTCCATCGCATTTAAGTAAAATATTTTCAAAAAATATTCCACTTATAGCCAGCTTCATGCGTCCTTTTATTGTGGAGCTAGATAGTAATTCAATTAAAAGGACCTTACCTATGGCATTCAGACACAAATATTATAATGTGAGTTGCATAATAGACTGCCTTGAAATAGAGGTACAAAAGCCGTCTAAGGCAGTAGATCAAGCTCTCACTTGGTCCGATTATAAAAAAGCCAATACAATAAAATATTTAATATCCTGCACACCTAATGGCTTAGTAAATTATATCTCACCTGGATTTGGAGGCAGAACAACTGATACATGTGTGGTTGAGTCATGTGACTTTGTAAAAACATTAAAAGGTGGTATGGTTGTTATGGCAGACAGGGGATTTAAACACATAGAGCAATATCTTAGAAGTTCAAATATTACATTAGTAAGGCCTCCAAGTGTTGAAACAGGAGTGAAGATGAGCAAATCTCAAGCAAAACTTACGAAACAAGTGGCTAGCCTGAGAATACATATAGAAAGAGTTATTCGGCGCTTACGTGAATTTTATATGCTTAAACCACATGCATGTATTAATTTCAAATTTGTAAAAATTCTTGATGAGATAATAATCATAGCCTGTGCTTTAATTAATTTGCAAAATTCCTTAATAAAATAATACACTAATAGAAACTCCAAACTTGTATTTTATTTATTTAAGATACATACACTCACTCTACACACTCTTATATAACAAGGGATATATATAATTTTTCCAAAAATTTAACAATTTATTATTAATTAAGTTTTCAACATAGTCAAGATTTAATGATATGTTCATAATAGTAACATTTTTATTTTGACTATAGTTAGGGTCAGCTACACAGAAATAACAGTTATTCTTCTCTGACAAATACATTTGAAGCTGCATTTGGGCATAATATTTTTCTTTAGCCTCTCCATTTTTATATAATTTTCAAAAGTCTTTGTACTATTCGGACATTTAATTTCGATAATACCATCTTCCAATATTCCATCAGGGGAACCAGCAATCATTGGATATTTGGAGTTTAAAAATAGGCCACACTTTCTAATTTTCTTTTTCAACTTTTTCTCCACTGTCTTCCTTACATCATCTTCTAGGACACGGCCACGTTTCATTGATGGCGTATCTGGAATTTTGCCACCTAATATGAGGCATACAAGTGTGCCATCACCTGTATTACATCGGCTTACTTCAAATGCTCTAGAGGCAGTTATTCGACCATATCTTTGTTCAAACCAGAGATTGCTACCTGATTGTGCCCTTGTTTCTTCTTCAACTTTCTTTATTACAGATGTTGTTAAATGTATTTTTTTCAAAAAATCTTCAACACATTTCTCCTTCAATTTATATACAAGTTGATGCATTGAGACAGCCTGTGTTTCACTTAAACAATAATTTGGTTGATATTTTAAAAGTTCACAGTCTTCAATTTTTCTTTTCCTTGCCTCTTCCAAAAACTTATTGAAAACAGACGAATTAGGCGGTAACACTGAACTGCCCTTAGACAAGTCTTTTGCTGTCATGTATTTTAAACTGCTACCAACTCTGGATAGCTTAGACTTTTTCCAGTAGCATTCTACCGCAGTACATGATGGTTCCTCACTTCTGCGATGAACCCACATGAGGAATGCAATCGCATGATTGCAGCCGCCCTGTGATGCTATACAGTCTTGGCATTGGACAGAGATAATGATACCATCTTCTTCATCAATAACCATTGTACATTCATATAATTTGGCATGAACTTTATGTTCCGGACATATTTTGCACTTTACAGTACACATTTTAGTTTCTCGCTTCAGCTGCACATAGCTTACGGCATCGTCTCCATAAGAAGCTCGAGAAGATCTGTAATAAAGTTTATTTTGTTTATACTTCATGTGTTTAACCTCTAAATATGTCAAAGAAATGAAAATATATAGGTAGGTAAGACAATAAGTAATCTAGTACACTGAAATACTGCTAAATTTATCATAAATATTTTACACTTGTGCATACTTACATTGTAGCTTTAACATTGCGGAATTCCGATGAGCAAAAGTCGCTATTTGCCGCGAAAAATCTACCAAGCATAACGGCATCAATTTTGGGTAAATTATTGCTATTTGCTTTGGTAAATCCCGATTCCATGGCTATAATATGCTTCCTTTCAATAATTAACTAAGAACAAAGTGATAAATTGTATCAAAGTGAGACGGTGACATAAACAGATTCATGAAATGAACAGTGTTGCTAAGTCCGATTTTGGAAAATCGGGAGGCGTTATAGAAAAAAAACAGTAGATTTATGGAAGGAGCTACAAGAAAAAACAGTAGAGGCGAAGGGGGGGGGGGTCTAGAATTGGTAAATCAAATCAAGATATAGGCCAGTAACGAATGTATTTCTGTGACTTCTCGTTTTTTTAGACAATGACATTTATTTTATAATAATTAAGGTTACCTACATTATTAATGTCGGAAAATGCAACTCAACATGCAATTTAAAATAGAAACTCATATTCTAAGAAAAACAGTACAACAGGAGAAATTTCAGAAAAACAGGAGATCTCCTGTAAAATTGGGAGACCTGGCAACACTGGACATGAATGCCAAATCAATCAAATCTATGAAAACGTCAACCACAAACGTTTTACACGGCGTGACGTCAGTCTTTCTGATTGGTGTTTACTGTCACGTGACCTAATGCCTATTTTTTCCGAATTTATTTTCTAAAAATATTAAAAATCGTTAATTATTATCATAAATAGCTATATTTTTTGTTATCTGTATATCATAGTTCATATTTAGAAACTGGCACCCATCCGATTTATTGTTAGTTGACACAAGCCTATTATAGCTGTGTTAATAAATGGTAATAAAAACACTA